CACACTCATATATATATATATATATATATATATATGAGTGTGTGTGTAAGCTGTTCATTCAAACGTAAAAGGTCATACAAACAAAGTATGAACCCAAATGCTCAGAAATTTTGTAAGTAAACAGTAATAGTTAATCGTCAGCATGTGGTAGGTAAGCTGCATCAGTAACAACATTATGTGTACTCAGGAAGAAGCATGATCATGTAAGCATTATTTGAAAGGGTGTTATCTTTGATAGCAAAACATATCATGTTGCACATGCTACGTTGATGGCGATATGCTCTTAGATTGTGCTTTAACACAACAGCCGTAGGAAAATCGACATGGTTTGATTTAGAATGACCCTTGGTTTAATATGGAATTAATGCTTTCAGAAAATGTTGTGTATAACTAGTTAGTTTGTGGTTAGATTCAACTTCTTGCTGCACGGAGGACGTGATCTCTTGAAACTCCTGTGACCTGTTAGTTGGTATTGCTAACGTCTTCTAGAACAAGGATAGTGATATTCTTTGTTCATGTTGCATCTGTTTTATCTTTCTACCATTCACCATCTCTTTCCCTTCCAGTACCACTCGAATAGCATATGCCTGATGCAGCTGATTGGAACTAAAATTCAGCTGATGAGAATGATGCACATGATTGAAGTACATTACTGTATATTCATTGGACTGTTGGGCAGATTGCACGAAGCTAAAGTTTGTTCCGAACGAATATCATGTTATGCACAGACAACACACGCTCACATTTTACTTCGCCCATTCTGTCGTACATGCTGCCATAATGAGCTAATTTGTTAATAAACACATTTTCTTAATATTTCAGAGATAATAAACATAAAATATACTGTCATTCTATTTATGTAAATATTCATCCAAACCTGAAATGAGTCTTTAATCCCTTATTGATACCCATCCTTTCTCTGTGTATCTTGATTTGAATATTCCTGCTGTTAAGAATAGTGAAAATATTTTCATTATGTTTGAATGAAAATGTTTTTTTCTAAATATGTTCATTTTAGTGATTGTTTCGATGTACTTGTCACGGCTTCTTATTTCTATGTTAAAGCTATTACTAGAATTATACAAGGCCAAACTATGGTATCTTCTAATGAGAATTTTTATATTTTAAAAACTACAGTGAATAGGAGACTATTATTTCTTGAAATCTGTACACTATTTAGGGCTAGCTTTAAAATACCGTAATGGGGTTTAAACCAGGTGTCAGTCGTTCAAAATATGTGTAAAATTAAAGTTATTAAGAATAGTACTCCTGTAGAACACAGTTTTAAAAATGTGTTTTACAAGATTTATTTGGCATTTTAAAAGAGTAAGTTTATTTGTTTGTTTAGTAGTTAAGCACAAAAGCTAC